GGAGGAGTTGAGAGGGGTGCGGCAGCGGGGGAGGGGGGGGGGGGGGGGTTACCTTACTAATCAATAATTAGTAATCATATTTTTTACTGAATTTACATGTTTGGTCTACGCACCTTTAAGGGAATAAAGAAAGGAATACCATTCTAGAGACATAAAACCAAAAGTCAAAAAAGCAGATGTTCCAGAAAGACAGAAATGTGTCAGGAAATTATCTTTTGCTTGAAGAATCCTAAAAATGACAGAGGTCTCTGTGTTATTCAGAACTCATTTTCATTTTCAGTCATTTACCGATAAAAGAGCTAACCTTTTCAGACCTCTTTATCTCCACACTGAATCAAAAATAATTTATTCCACTCATTGATTTTGTGTAAGAAGGTGGGCCCTTCACTCACAGCCTAATAAAGAATGACTAATGCTATTCTGACACGTTCCTGGTCAAACTGGGTGAGCCCAGAACATTCAGCTGTGCCTGCACTGAAAATCCACCCTGATGCGTGTCAGTAAGATTTGCATTCCTGTCTCCAAGCTCACCCGTGCCACACACACACACACACAAGCATGTGCAAGACGTCCAGGCAGTTTTCTCACTTCGCACAAATGTGTTTGAATCACAGATTTGTTTTTGGAACCTGAACTGAATTGAAATGAACTGTATGCTAATATTTAAATAATACTCTCTTCTATGTGCATGCATGTGATTTTGTGTTGTATGTGTGTGTGGTCATTAATTAGTCCTTAGCTGTGACCTAGTGGGGCTTCTTGAAATCACATTAGAGGATTGACTGTGTGTGTGTGTGTGTGTGTGTGTGAGAGTTCTTAGTTACAAGAAGGAAGAAATATATTTGAAACACACTGAAAATGTTTAGATTCTGTTTTTGGTTTGTGTTGCCAATGGCTTCTGAAATGACTACAATTGCAACAAGATTCTTGTTTACGTCAATAGAAAACACAAAACATGTTTTCCAGTCATGCGACTTTAACCTGGTTAATTTGGTTTAAAAAGCTTTGTGAATAACAACATCAGATATTGATTAAAGGAAAGTGAAAAAGAACAGGCAATGTCCCCTTTTTCTAAAAGCTCAGATCAGTCTTTGTGGTTCAGGGTCATGACGTGTTCGCAGACTGTTCCAATTCACAAGCTGACGAGCAAATCTGCTTAATAGATGATAAGCCTGATTGGATGCAGGGCTTGGCCTATAGAGCATAACGTGCCAGCAGCAGCAGTAGCTGAGTGAGACATTCATGATTAGTCAGAGAAAAGAAAGAGGACCCAGCAGCAGTGACACATTAGCTGTGTTACAGTTGCCATAAGTTGAACAAACTTATTTACTTCTTTGGCGTGCATTTCATCACTCCATTACTTCTCTAATAGGTCAAGCTTATAATAAACAAAGATCAACGTATCTAATAACATTAGTGCAAAATAAACTTGACTGTTATTAAAGATTTCCCTGCTTATTAAATAGCTTCAGATATAACTAGAATGAAAACAGTGACAATTTCCAACTGGAGAGCAGGTGGTTTGATTTGTAATGTGATTTCTATTGTTGGATATTCTGGATTAAATCTATTCCATACTATAGGTCGACTTTCATTGCCTTGTTTGGATTCCATTGGATATCAGGGTGGCTGATCTAACAGGGCTCTGACCTCTCTCCACTGATTAAAGACAGTGCCATTTAAAACCTGAGTGAAGGGCACGCTGGAGATAGCTTGTCAGCTATTGTGGTTAAAAGTCACCTGTATATCAACTATAACCTTCAGCAGCCAGTGCACAGATGAGCTGTGATACGTCCATTTAATTTGCTATTTAAATTTGCAATTAAGTTATGTCTCTGCCGAATTAAAAAATATATAAAAGTAACATCTGCAAAAAATGTATGGTAATTTTATTGTTTTTAAATATTAATTTATTAATAAATGTTATTAACAATTAATAAAAATATATTTTAAAAATATATATCAGGAAGTCGATTCCTACAACCAACATTAATTTAACATTCATTCATTACAGCAGCAGTCCCCAAACTGTGGTCTGTAGACATGTACCAGTGAGTGGGTAATTTGGCACCGGGCCACACGGAAAGAATTAATAATTCACTTAATTTATAGAGAATCTGATTATTTCTTTCTCTGATGCTTACAGAAAAAATGTTTTATTTTAAAATTTCCCCCTACCAAATGAATGTTTAATCTTTTATCAGCCAGTTTTCCCGGCTGATACCAGGAAAACCAATCCTTTGTAAATGTTTAGGGACTAATGCCTTACGATATATAAGACTTTTGATCAGTTTGAACAGTTGAGCAACTGAGGAGGGTGTTTGTAGTTTTGGAGCAGAATTGTATGCCTATTCTTGTTGTAAATATGTCAGTAGGAGAAAGATCTGGACTGCAGCCTATACTTCATGTTTCTGACACCATGTCTTGCTAGGTATTGCTCTGCTGTACAATCCACGGAGTTGCTAAAAAGAGGAGTGATCCTGACAATAGCATATCAACCCAGGACTTTCAGCACTAGCCGCATCACCAGTGATACCTTCACGAATATACAGATCATACTAATTCATCACAGTATGATCATTGACACCCTAGTTTGCACCTTGCTGATTTAAGGGGTTTAAGTCTGTTTCATGGAATTTGGTTTTAAGTTATTCTACCATCGATTAATTTAAACATGTATTTGCCCCGGTGATGCAGTAGTTTTCTCCTCTGCCTTTCAGTACATTTGCTCTGCTGATGTGATTGATTTACAAACCTGAGCTTTTGTCATGATCGATACATCTAATGCATCGTGGCTATTGAAGTCTTCTGTGCGTACACTGCAGTAAAACTGTGCATTTGCTGAACATTATAGTTAAATGGTCTGTACTGAGTCTACAGTGTTCCATGAGTCCAAAGCTGTAAGAAGTTACATAAAGCCCACAGATGCATGACAGTAAGGTCTATTGTTCTTCTGTAAGTACTTGATGCCATTCCTTCTGGCTGAGGAGGAATTTAAATTCTCTGAGCACAATTCTAATATCTAAAGTTTCTAACCGCATAACTTAAAGATCTTACTTGCATATGACAAACTCCTGCATCTGTGTAAAGCCATGCAAGACATTTGATGGAAATGAGCAGTGACCGATGATTTCAACACTAATCAGAGACTCACCAACAGCACACAATCACACCACCTCTCCAGCTGGCTGTCACTTTGCCACAAAGACTCTAATTGCATAACCATTACGACAGACGAGTCTTAAATTAAGATGCATGAAATTCATTAGAGCTGACTGTCTGTAAACAAGGCACAAAAAGCGCCCTCGAGTACAGTCATGTGCTTTGTCCAGGCGGACAGGCAGAAGCCCAAACAATGTATGAGAGTCAGAACCAGGAACCGAGTGGAGGAAGTGATGTATTGCACAGTGGCTCGGAACAATGCGGTCTGTTTTACCTGAAGGCCAATGTTTCTACCCCATCAATTCGTCTTAGTGGACAGAGGGACCCTATGACATCCTCACTACAGCCTTTGTTAGCAGATGACTCTGAAGACATCTGCTCAATCTGAGCTGAGAGATTTAATCTTGCATGTGTTGAATATGAAATTACTTCTAATGATGGTGGTAAATGAAAGCCGGCTTTGTTTGCTTTAGAGCCTGTGAGTTTTGAGTTATTCCTTAGTCTTTAGAAATTGCAAAAAAGCTGACTAACAAAACAAAGTCGAGCTGCTGGAAATAAAAAAGCTCATGTTGACACCAGACTTTCTCTCTCTCGCTGTCTCTCCCTCTCCTCCTTAAAACAAAGCAGGGGATGAGGTGACAGCAGTATTCAGCTTGAAAACAGATGGGCCAAGATCCCACTGCAGTACCACACATTCAAATGTGTTATGATTAATTAGGAGACTATGGTTCTGGATGTATTTTTACCTTACTGAGCCCCTGAAACAAGTCGACCCATAGCACCGAGGCTCCCCGTGTCTCCTCCTTAGTCATTACGCCATTCTGGCAGGGAGTACTACTATCTTGTAAAGGCTGACATAGTTGACACTGCAGGCTTAGGGAGCCTTACAAAGTCTGCTTTAGGCAGACTGCTGCTGTAGACTGAGGTCTGTCTGACATGTGTGACTCCTGAGGCAAGCATGTTGCCAAATGAATGGAGACAGTGAAGATGGCATGACCCACTTCACTAGGGGTTTAACTACCCTGAAGTGTGTTCTTTGCTTACACAAGATGTGGCTCTGTGTGCTGTTAAATATACATTGCACACAATATAATTAACCAACTGTTTTTGGAGTATATTTGCATGTCAAAAGAGACCAATCTAATCATTTCTTATAAATCGGACTTGCAATGTGAAGATAGGGTTGTGCTCGTTATGTTATCTAATTCAACGCACACTGAAGGCTCTTAGGAATATCGAACGATAACATCAGGGTCTGCCTGGACGTACCGTGGGTTTTTTTTATTTTTAATTCGCCTATTCCAGTTAGTGACGGGAGAGGAGGAAGTGCTTCCCTCTCTGTTTTAATCGAACTGGGCCATACATGGACGCACAGCTCATTCAGTTATCAGGTGAAAGCATCTGAGAGGAGAAACAAGGAGAGAACAGCTGAAGAACAGCAGTTAGGAGGGCGCACATAATTCAGGCGCAGCCGAACACGTTTGCACAAAAACGGAAACGTGCGCTCCTGGGTTTTGCGGGAAAACCAATGGATTTAACATAAACAAACGTTTTGTTTTTTTAAGGATACAGGCAAATGAATAAAAAAAATAGTTAAATCAAATAACCAACAACACATTGGATTCAGAAAGAGGAACGCGCATCACATTTTGATGCGCGTGGGTTTAATGTATTCACTTGGCCATTCCCATCAGCAGCCTCCCGCCTGTCTTTTAAGATCAATGTGTGCCTGAGCTTCTCCTTTCTCCTAATACGGATACTGTTTGGTTTTTTTTCTTACTAGTTTATTTCACATATTCATTAGTTTGTTGTTGGTACATTATTACTTTGCCAATTACCTTTAGCATGCTGCGGGACAGCGGCGCACAGACACAGGGCGAAGGAAAGAAGCAGCGGTCCCATCCTCTCTCTCATCATGGACAGTCCGACTTCCAAGGTTACACTGACGTGGGGATGAAAAGCAAAAGCTCAAAGTTGTCCCTGTGTGGTGGTGGATGTGGCTACTGCAGGGTTGGGTTGATATACGTCCTCTGTGGTAACAGGGGTCCTGTGTAATAAAGTCGGCAGAGAGCGAGATACTCTCGCCTCGTGGAGTCTGAGGCGCAGAAACAAGTGAGCGAGCCTGCGAGTGTCCCTCTGTGTGTCTGCGTGTGTGTGTGTTGCTCCTACAGCTGCTGCTGCTGCTGGGGTGGAGGTGGTGGAGGAAGTGGTGTTTGGTCCCTTCCCCGCTCGTACCGCAGTGGTGAGATGTGGTGGAGAGAGCGACGTGGTGCGCACTCAACACTCATACATTGAGAGAGGCTGTCAAGACAGAAGTAGATGGAAAAAGACATAGTTTCCTGCAAAGATTTCCAAAATAAAGCTCCCGAACCAATCCTAATGTGAAGTCATTACAGCACACTTGATTATTGAAAAAGGTAAAAAGGGAAATCCGTCAGGTTGAAGTTATGGTTAGAGGCAGGGCTTTATTCTTGTTATGATGCAATGACAGAAAGGGGCAGTTTCAGAATATCAAAACAACAACAACAACAATAATAATGTAATTATGATTATTATTTTTATTGCACATCAAATTATTCTAATAAAATATTATTGTAGGTCTAATGCCTACTTGGGTATCACATCACATGACATTGTCTTTTTCATGTTGCATTGCATTTGCGATGATATTTTAAGTTAACTTAAAGAGAGAACAAACACAGAGTGTTCTCATAATCCTTCTATTCTTATTTTTCATTCAGAAAGACAGACCTCTGCTGAGTTGGGGGCAAAATTGTTTTGGCACCCCAACCTATCCTTAGTGTATTTGTTGTTTTAACACAACTACATTTACCCTTTTGATAAAGATTTTAAGGGGTAGGTCTTGAACTGGAACAGCCACCCTAAATAAAAGTAAGGATAATGTAGTGTTCATCATCTAAACTTAATCATCACAGTTATCTTAGCAGAGGGAAAGGTATGCAAAACCTCCTGTGTTTATCATGGTAATGGTGTTTGATGTGCAGACAATTCAATGTTTTACTGTGTTATTTATTGTATTTTGTTGCCCAACATCCATTACTGCTGCCACAACAGCATCACATCACTGTATGGTAAATCAGCATTTCCCTGTCGCATCTTCTCGAATTTGAACAAATATTTAGAGGGCTAACATTTTGTGTCTACCAGTGACTCTGACACTTTTTCTCAATTATACTTTGAAAAAAAAAAAAAAAGTTAAATTATACAGCTTTATTTACAGTTTGTTCACTTTAAGTCATCAAATGCACTCAACTCTAAAGACTAATCCTGTATCCTTCTTTGTCATACCTCATCTGATTCTGACATCATTTTTTCTCTCTCATAGATTCTAAATAGATTCTTGGTTTATATAGAGCACTGGATAAGTTAGCTTGTTTGAGCCAATTAACATTTGTTTATATATTGTAAATAAAAAAAGATCTATCTCTTGTTTCATCCATCCATTTTCATCTGCTTATCTGTTACCGGGTCGTGGTGGCAGCAGTTGCCACCCAAATCACACTGCACCGTATCAACCCCCCCAAACCTTTCTGCGGGTGGTGAACCCTGGCCAATGACATTGCCTCTGGGCCAAAGCGCCACTTTCTTGTTTCAGTTTCCTATTTTTTTTTTTTTTCAATTTTACCTCTGTTTACCTGCTGGTCACTTATCATTGAGAGCAACATTTATATTTAAATAACTGGGCCTTTGAGTGTCCACTCTATTGTGGACCTTAGCCAACAGTTAAGTCTAAAGATGGTGCTGATGCTGACGGCAGCAGCCTTCAGGTCGCTCTGCAAAATAAAGGCAAAGATAGCGGATAACCAGAGGCGTTTAAAACCATCGATTCCCTCCATTATCATGGGTGAGAAAATTCACACCGTCACAGCAGAACTGCGGACACAACACCCTGAGGCTTTCACCCTGATTTCTGGTGACTTTAATCATGTCACTCTGGATTCTACACTGGAGCCATACAGAGTCACCGCCCTGCCCCCTCTGGGCACATCCAGCCACATTACACCCCTTTGGTTCAAAGGCAGCTGATCCTCAAAAGCTCCATCAGGAGATGGACTCCTGAAGCTGAGTATGAACTGAGAGACTGCCTTGACACTACAGACTGGGATGTACTGAGTCCAGATGATGAGGACATCTAGGGTGCTACCACCACCTTACAAATTATCTTAATTTCTGTTTGGATGTGGTTGCCCCTGCAAATACTGTACTGTGTTACCCTAATAACAACCATGGGTAACACAAGAAGTAGTGATGGGAAGACCGATTCTTTTTACTGATTCGGATCTTTGACTCTTGAACAGTTAAATGAACAAGTCGTGAACGAATCTTGAACGAATAATTTCATTCGTTTTACAGCAGGTGGCACTTTAGCCCTATTGTGGGCGTTGTAAAGAAGGCTGCGGTTCTCCGACACTAAATAATGAAGGCAAGTTGCTTCTGCTGTACACAAAATGCCATAAGCAATTCAAACCATGTGAAAACCTAAAAAAGAAAAACACACCACAATGACTTGTGTCCTTCATCCTCCCTGTCATTGTTGTTTAACCGCCTAACAGTGACTAAGATGAATGAGAGCAAAAGAGACCCAAGCTGTCTGTCACATGAAAAATGGAACGAATCTGCGAGGACGAAGCTTTGAACATGTATATGAGAACGACTCTGCGAAAACGAATCTGCGAAAACAAATCTGTGACAACGAATTTTTTAACGAATCCATGAGAGCTAATCTGTGAACAAATCTGAGAGAATGAATCTGTGCAGCCCAAGCAGTCTATCACAAATGAATCATCCTGGTAGAGGACAAGTGAATGTAAAACTCA